ACTTCTTTAAAAAAAATAAAAAATCATACCGATTCAAAACTTTTGACTGGTAGTAGGCTATATATATAGCCTATATATATTTATACACACACACACACACACACACACAAACAGTAGATCATACAAATATATATTGATTGTGTTTGAGTTTAGCAGAGATCAGTGCTGAGTCCGTGGAGAAGACAGTGATTCTGCTTAAAGAGAAAGCAGAAAGTGGAGATTCTCAAGCCGCCTTCCTCCTGGGACAGTTACACTATGAGGAGGTGATGATGCCTAAAGTCTCTCTCATTTAACCTGCGCACAGATTCTATAGGTTATGCAAAGCCAGAATCATGTGGGAATGTGATCCATGACTCGTGACTGCTGGTGTGTGTTCTTCAGGGCCGCTTCACAGAAGCAGAGATCATCTTCGACGGCATTAAAAATGAAGATCCCCGAGCTCTATATCAGCTGGCTGTCATGTATTACGATGGACTTGGAACCAAAGAAGACCTTGTGAGGACCTTCTTATTCATGATATCTCTCAGATCTACAGTAATAATAGGCTTTTTGTATGTTACAAATTTACAAACGCCTGCAAAAGCAACTAAAATTGGAGCGCAACAGTCGGAAGTCAACTCCATTCATTTTCCCCATATGAAAACTGATTTTGAATGATAACTCATAAACCTTTAAAGACAGCCCAACTGTGAGCTACGAGGAAGTTAATCGATGGTGTTTGCTTCTGTTGAAACCGTTAGCCCGCATTATTTCAACTTATTTATAAAAGAATCGCGTTCAACAGCTAAATTCGTGGTGATAAACTACATTACCCATAATGCTGTACAGAAAATTCCACCAATCAGAGTCGAGACAAGCAAAACCACCAAAACAGCTCTTTAGCTCCGCCCACTCCCATAAACAAGCTCTCTACACTCAAAATACTGAAATGTTTGTATATATATATATATTCAACATATTAAATGAGTAGTTCGCCCATTTTTTAGTTTGTGTCATTCGCAATGCTTCATGGGATTGTAGTTATTTCCCTCACTGAAGTCCTTAAACACACAGTCTTGAATTTTTGTCTGATTTTCAAACAGGTTTTTTGCTTCAAACCAAAGTTTGCAGTGTTGTGATTCTCCTCGCAGCTGATTGGCTCGGTTCATGGCTTATAAGACTATTTTAAAATCCCTATGGAAAAAAATTAATGGAAAAAAATACTTCCGAAAAAGGGGACGGACACTGTTACACTCTATTAAAGTCTCACTGTCTATATGAAAACCACCAACTTTAACAGGGCAAAGCAATGGAGTTGATGAGAAGAGTTGCATTGTGGGATTCCTCGCACGCGGGCTCTGTCAGACACGCGGCGCTGTATAACCTGGGCCGGGCGTATCTGGAGGGTCACGGGGTCCAGGCGTCCAGCGCTGAAGCAGAGCGGTGAGAAACTATCACACAAAACACAAATCTGGTGCAACAATTGATCGTGTCACAATATATCGCAATACAAAAATGCAGCAACTATGTATCGTGGATAGTGACAATATGTATTGTGTATAGTTCACCCAAAATAAAAATTACTGTGTGAGAAAAAATTCAAGTTTACAGAGTTTTAGTGTCAGTACTACATTAAACAATGTTGAATATAATTACACACATTTTAATCAACATCACGATACTGAACTCACGATATTATTGCGATACTCCAAGACATGTTAAAAGATTAACAAAACATGTACCGTTGACTAAAATGCTAAGTTTGGTATTACTGTACGTTGTGTGTGTGAATGAATAGTCTTGGACTTGATGCTGAAACCCAAAGCACAGGACAATAGAGACACCAGAATAACAATATTCATGATTCTGAAGATGAAAATACAGAATTATTTTAGACGAATATGCAGTCTGTCACTGATTAGATATATTTAAAATAATGTCGGGCACTTTGTACAGAAATTCATTACATTATATTTAACATTATATAGTAGTTTAATGTAGTAATGTCGACATTGAATTTTTTCTCACACAGTAATTTTTATTTTGGGTGAACTACACACAACACATAATGTCACTATCCACAATACATATTGTTGCATTTTTGTATTGCCATATATTGTGACACGATCTATTGTGACGCTGCTAGTAGGGAAGTGTGATTTGTGACGGTGCCCTGTGTGTTCCCGCAGGCTTTGGCTCCTGGCAGCTGATGAGGGGAACCCGGACGCTAGTGTGGAGGCGCAGTCGTCTCTCGGCATGTTCTACTGCAGACCCGAGACCCTCGACCTCACCAAGGTCCTGAGATCATGCATGACCGGCTCCACTTGCAGTCGCACAACCAGAGGATCAGCTCTGGGTTCCTTTGGGAATCTAATGGGATTTTCGAATAGTAATTTATGAGTGGAATAGGTCTGTGGTTGGCAAGTAAACTTGCAATTACGATAAAAAAGTCAGAATTGTGGGATATAAACTCGTAATTGCAATAAAAAAGTCAGAATTGTGGGATATAAACTTGCAATTACGATAAAAAAGTCAGAATTGCGGGATATAAACTCGCAATTGCAATAAAAAAGTCAGAATTGTGGGATATAAACTTGCAATTACGATAAAAAAGTCACAATTGTGGGATATAAACTCACAATTACAATAAAGTCAGAATTGTGGGATATAAACTCGCAATTACGATAAAAAAGTCACAATTGCGGGATATAAACTCACAATTACAATAAAGTCAGAATTGCGAAATGTAAACTCGCAATTACGATAAAAAAGTCACAATTGCGGGATATACACTCACCGGCCACTTTATTAGGTACACCTGTCCAACTGCTCGTTAACACTTAATTTCTAAGCAGCCAATCACATGGCGGCAACTCAGTGCATTTAGGCATGTAGACATGGTCAAGACAATCTCCTGCAGTTCAAACCGAGCATCAGTATGGGGAAGAAAGGTGATTTGAGTGACTTTGAACGTGGCATGATTGTTGGTGCCAGAAGGGCTGGTCTGAGTATTTCAGAAACTGCTAATCTACTGGGATTTTCACGCACAACCATCTCTAGGGTTTACAGAGAATGGTCCGAAAAAGAAAAAACATCCAGTGAGCGGCAGTTCTGTGGGCGGAAATGCCTTGTTGATGCCAGAGGTCAGAGGAGAATGGCCAGACTGGTTCGAGCTGATAGAAGGGCAACAGTGACTGAAATAACCACTCGTTACAACCGAGGTATGCAGCAAAGCATTTGTGAAGCCACAACACGCACAACCTTGAGGCGGATGGGCTACAACAGCAGAAGACTCCACCGGGTACCACTCATCTCCACTACAAATAGGAAAAAGAGGCTACAATTTGCAAGAGCTCACCAAAATTGAACAGTTGAAGACTGGAAAAATGTTGCCTGGTCTGATGAGTCTCGATTTCTGTTGAGACATTCAGATGTTAGAGTCAGAATTTGGCGTAAACAGAATG